GNNNCAATGAAACGTGCACTAAGATCGGGTTGACCGAATTAAACAATTTTGAATAATATTAAATTAATCGATTACTATTAAATTAATTTTATTTGATTTTCACGTTTAAAATTTTCCAAAATACTATTTTTATTATTGTGGAAAATGGCGGTTGGATGAAAAAGTCAAATTCAAATTAAAAAAAAAATGTTATTTTGAAAAAGATATTTTGTAAACCCTAATTCATAAAAATATGGTCAATGATAACTTTAAATACAACGGGTAAATATGGTCAATGATATCATAAATTATATTTTATATTCGATAAGTTCAACTTAATTGATGATTTTGTTTGATAATATTTGCTTAACTACAAAATATTTTAAAGTTTATAAAGAATCTCATTTTATGTAGGTTCTTGGTACTTTTTTATTTGTACATATTCATTTTTCATCCCATATCCAAATACAAATTTAAATGCGGATCTTACATGTTTATTAGAAATATATGTATATTTTTTCAAAAAGTATGACGATCATATAATTAATTTTATCATATATCATATGTTGGATGTTATTAGTTTGGTTGGGACACTCATTATATTCAAATAAATAATATATAATTTTTCATATTTAGTATTTCTTTTTTTATAATAATAAGATGTTAAACATAAATAACTATGTATAATATAAAGTCTTAGAAAAGGTTTTAAGTAAAAACCTCTCCGTGCAGCGCACGGGATACACACTAGTTGTACTAGTTAATAGTTAATAGTTAATACTTAATAACTTATTAGTAAATCACTTAATCTTAGCCTCAGTTTATTTTATTTTATTTATTTATTTTTTTAACCATGTGAATTAAAAATGCCAAAAAGGGCTTGATGACTCATCAGCCCTCCTCACCCATTAACAAAAAACAAAATCGGCCTTCGAAGAAACAAGAAAGAAACTCTCGCAGAAACCTAGTTCGTGAATCGCACTTGCTCCTCACTCCGCTCCACCGGAATTTAAATCAGCACCGACACTGGAATTTGCTTCTCTCTGGCATACGGCGGAACTCTCCTCTGCTATGACTTTCCTTGCATCTACTTCTTCAACTTATATCCACTATGAATTTCCTTGCATATGGCGGAATTCTCCTCTTTCTTGCATAGCGAATTGTTGGAACTCGAAAGCAACTTTCTGAGTTCGACCTTGTATTTTCTCAATGGTGAACATCTTAAGCCTTTGTTGCTGCTTCATTTTTTTTCCTCTAGTATTTTTTTTAGTTTTTTTCGGTAACCGACAAATCGGTTACCGAATTCTTATCGGTTCAGTTTCGGTTTGAATATTAGTGAAACCAAACACGTTCGGTTTGGTATCGGTTTAATGTTATCAGTTCGGTACCAAACCAATACCATCCCTAAAATATCATGTACTTTGTAATCTGTCGAGGGTGTGAACACAATTCGTTATAATAACTGAGGCGAACACAAAAAAACCATGTAGTATCAACAGAAAATCAACATCTATAAAGACAAAGTAAAAGGCAGTATGAACAACACATTGTACTTGTAGTGACGGTACTAAATAAAAATTAGAAAATCAAGATTTGTGATGCAGTGGAAACATTTCTTAAGACCAGATGGCATGGTGTTATCACTGCTTAACATAAGTATCCAAATCAAGTAAAAATAAGGGCTAAATACGTTGAACATGCATTTTCTTGTAAGTACACGCGAGCAAAGTGACTAATAAACACAAGAAGACAATTCTAACCCATTCTTGTCATTCGGCTTTGGCCTAAGCTGATCCATCTGTTTTCAGGTCGGCAGAACAACAGCCGTGGTGATGATGGTGGTGGCCATAGTGCTGCCTTCCCTTCAGGTGTTTCCTCATATCATATGCATCCTCTCCATCTGCGTAATATTTCGCTTCCACGTCATGAATCTTGTACCCTAAAGTCTCGGTGTACAAGTTAAATGCAGCTCTGTTGCTTTTCCTGACATGCAGCGACACATATTCAGATCCATACACCTGTGCACGAATCGTAACCCCAACAAGTTAGTTGTCTACGCACAATAAAATTAGCACCTTTACATCTATTTGGGTCATACCAAAAGTTGCTGCAAAATCAATTCAGATCTTCGGAAGCGTACAGAAATTGTAGCAAAATATAACCCACCTTTTCTGCACACGACACTAAACAACCATCATCCAAGAAAACGCCAACAACAAATAGAATTATTCTAGTTATATTTTGGAACATGAACATAGAGCTTCAAGCATATTTCTCAGCTACTGTAATGAACATTACTTTCCGAGCACTTGATTTATTTTATAACTGCAGCTGCATTTGTGTACTTTGTCATGGCAGTACGGTGATACTACAAGCTCTTACAATCTTTTTCTAGTTTTAATGTTAGAATAGAACAGGTAAGTACATGGCAATGTAATTTTTTTGAAGAGACATTACCACATAAATACAGCATTAGATGACTGCAGCAAAAACATTAAATTAGTATCAACATTTGTTGTAGACGGTTTTCACCAATTTCCCTATAGCTAATCCACACGGAACTCCACATTTAAATGGAGAAATTACAATTGCATCTCAGCATAACTGTTAAAATTGTTTTCACATCAAACTCCAAAACAGTTTCCAAAATATTCAATCAAACTGAAACAAGATATCCGAAATGTCGTGCGCTGCAACCAAACGCTACAGGGATTACTATCAAGAACAAGAAATACTAATCAACAATAGGATCAAGTGGTATAACCACAAGATAATCAAACTAATAGCAGATAAAGCTGCAACCCGCTAGACCTGGATTAGCAAATTACAAGAAATACTCAATGACAATTATTCCCAGCCTTCTCATGAAAACAAACAAACAAACAAATAAAGATAAGTTGAATCAACAAAAATGAATTAATTGAGCTCATTATTGACAATTCAGCATTAGGAAGGTCCGGTCGATAAATCTGAGCTACCGTATGTTTAAATGGATCGAAATAAAAGGGGAAAAAAATAAGTATAGAAGTAGGCACCTGTTCCATGGCGTTCTGAGCGGCAGTCATGAGCTTAGTAGCGAGGCCGAGCTTGCGGTGAGTCCTGAGGACGGCAAGCGAAGTTATGTGGCCGTGGCACTCGGTGGACTCCTCCTCCATCTTGGCCAGAACATAACCGACAATCTTGCCGTTGTAATCCTCGGCGACGTAGAGGAGCTGCGGCCACGAGAGAATGTGATAGAGATAGTATTTCATCTGGTAATTCTCCGGCAGGCAGAAGAGATTGCACTCCTGCATCGCCAGCAGGTCATCCACCGTTGCTTTCCTAATGCAAACCATTGTGGCAATCAAATGATTGCTGGTTAGGGTTTTGCTATTTGGTCTGAATTAGGAATTTGGAGGTCGGGGATAATTAGGGCAACTTTAGCGGGAGGTTTTTAAGAGGTTTGTAAACCTTACTTTTCAATTTTCCATTAAAATTGTGAGCTTTGAGGTTTGAGGCACATTCAACACTCATTGTTAATACCATTAAATAGCCATAAAAATTTAAAAAACACAAATTTTAGCCACTTTTTGTAAAAAACTTCTTTTTTAGCTATTTTGGCATGTATTTTTACTACATTACCCTTAGGTTAATATTACTTTGTTTACACAATTTGTTCCCCAAATTATTTCAAATCGAAAATTTCTTGCGTCGCACCCCCGCTCCTCTGCACTTCATCTTCACCAAATTTGTCTTCAAGAATTCATCTCTTCACGAGAAATCGAACACCTCAAGAGACCTCAGGCGACCTCACGTGACCTCACAACCTCAGGCGACCTCACGACCTCACGTGACCTCACGACCTCGGGGGACCTCATGGATCTGCCACTTTCGGTTGCCTTTTATAAACTTGTTCTTGGTCAAGTAACCGCAATTTTTTTTTTTTTTCAGATCTGNTTTTGGTTAATGATGGGTTGTTACTGGGGCAGGAGCTGGATTTGCATGATATTGTTACTTTCGACCCGGAAATAGGAGCTGGTTAATGTGTGGAAGTTACAACTTGGGGGATTTGTGCTTCCGTGGAGCTTCAATTGAGGACCTTTGTTTGGATTTCTCCCTCCCAGGCTACCCTGAGTATATCCTGAAACCGGGCAGTGAGAATGTATGCTACGTATCTTTTTTAATCCTTCTCTTCATATGTCCAAATTCCTTTTTACTCCTAAATTCACAGGTGGATATAAGTAATTTGGGAGATTATGTTTCCTTTGTGGTAGATGCTACTGTAGGAACTGGAATCTTGCGGCAAATAGAAGCATTTAGATCTGATTCAACCAGGTTTGTTCTTATGTTTGATTTACCTAGTGTGATAACATGTGCCAATTATTTGAAGCTTCCACCATATTCATCTAAGGTACAGACTTCGGTTTGGCTGGTTTGGGAAGGGCACCATTGGAGTTTTGTTGCGTATTTTGTTTTAGGAAAAAAATACAAATCTCAACTGCCGGTTCTCAGTTTCTCAATATGGAGAACGGAATAGGAACCTTAAGGAACCGACAATATTTTAATCAAAAAATAAATTTAAGGAAATGATATTGATGTATGTAAAATAATCAAATAAAGTTCAATTTCTTAGTTAATAAAATAAAAAGAAAAGGAACTTGGTCTTAATAATCTAAATCCTATTAATTTTTGTCATTTTATGATATAATAATATTATGTAGGCTACATAGAAGAATCAATATCCGCATATTGTGTCTTTCAAAAATATTTTTATTCTCATTGGTCATTTGGTGTTCGTATTTAGCGTTTTGTTCTTGTAAATCGCAAATTTTATTTAGTGGTGCTGAAAACTGAATTTGTTTTCCCCATCTTCTAGGAAATTATGTACAAGAAACTGCTTTACGCCATTAGCGAAGGACATGGATCTCTTGATTTGTCTTGAAAGTTGTCGAGCTTCTTCTGTAAAATTAATTTATGTTCTGTTCTGTTCTGTTATGCCCATGAATGAGATTTATGCGAATGAGATTTGTCTTGAAAGTTGTCGAGCTAGGGACTTTATCCTTCGCATACGCAAATGAGATTTATGCCAGGTCTTACATTTATTTTACTCTTCGTTCTTAATTATTTTCAACTTTAGTTACCTAATAGTGAGGATAAGTTCCCTATAACTAACGATCGCGTGAATCATCTGCTTCCACATCGTACAAGACATGATTGTGCGAGTGTACTCCAAAAGGCCTGAATTGGTCTCTGCTCAACCCAGCTATTAAAATATTTTAATTTCCGAGTTTTACACTATAGTACGTAATTTTATTACTTTTGCAGGTTGGACTGATTTCTGATGCTTCCGAGAATTTTCAGTTGAAGGCATATAGGATCAAAGCGCAAGTACATGCCACGTCGGAGACGAAAAAACGACCGGAAAATAACTGCTCATCATTGATTTTACACATCAACTAAACCAGTAAGACATTGCAATTGCATTTTGTGTTGGATGTTATGTATATAACGGACTCTATATGGATACATGATATGTCATACATATATTTGGCGTGCATTTGTATTACAAGCTTGCTCCCGTGGCGATTTTTATCGGTTTTCAAGTGAAATATAATTAGCTTGGTGTGTTTTATCACAAATTAAGGTGTGTTTTGATTGATTTAGAGTATTCAATATTCTAATTAGTGTCTTTTCTTCTATTTTCTTGCCACAATAGTTTAAATTTGGAGGGATTGGTTTTAAATATTGAGGACTCGTTAGACTAATGAAATAGTCTCATATCGTTTTGCTTGATGATAAAAATTAATATTTACGCATAAACAAGGACATGCTTTTAGTTTTTACGCTATGCTTGCATTTAATGGATCATGAGATGAAACATTTTAGCATTGGTTTTATGAATAATAATGCTGAAAACTATAATTTGTGATGGAGGCTAGGTCAAATCATATATCTTTTATCGGTAATTCTTCCGTTAAGGCTGCCTCTGCCTAACAGTAGCATTTGAAATTAACACCACACACTTATTTGCTGAAATAGTAAATACACCAAAGATTCTTTAAGTGAGTAACTAAGAATGGTATTCTATGGTTTTGATATTGGTCAAAGGAACTTGTATGGACATATAATTTGTGGTTTAGCTGTTGTAGAACAAATTTATCCAGTTTAATCATAGATTGGTAGCTACGAGATCTAATCAAGCGTCTCTAGATTGATTATTTACGATAAGTGCTTTTTTTTAAATGTTAGATTCCATGTTCACCTAGTGAACTCTAATACTCGGCATTGACGCATAGTTTGATAATGGGAAGGGACGCTCGAATATGGGTGGTACTGCTTTCTTGTCTCTATTGGATATTGGATGCTTGTGGTACTGTTTTCTTTTGTCCTTGTTGGATGTTTTTGTAGGACCATCTGGTTTGTTGGAGGTAGGGCTGCACACGAACTGAGCAGTTCGCGAGCCGCTCGCGAGCGCTCGAGTCAAAGCTCGGCTCGAGCTCGAGTTTGACCGAACTCGAGTCGAGCTCGAGCTCAAATTTTACCTTGTCGAGTGGCTCGAGATTATGTTAAATTACAAAATACCCCTTGTATATATATGTATCTTAATATTAATATATGTACTTAATGGTAATTTTGTAAATTTACTTGAAAATTTTCGAACCGAACTCGAGCCGAGCTCGAGCATCATGAAATCGAGTCGAGCTCGAGCTACTGTATTTGTTTGTCGAGTCGAGCTCGAGCATCAAAAATCGAGCTCGAGCTCGAGCAGCTAAAAAAAAGATATCAATCCTGCTCGATAAGGCCAATGCTCGACTCAGCTCGGCTCGTTTGCAGCCCTAGTTGGAGGATTTGTTGTTTTAGATATGTTTTCGTAGTTTTTGTTTAGTTTTTTGGCCTCTTTTGGTTGTTGATGATGTAAACTCAGTGTGGATGTTACCCCTGAACTTTGTATATTTGCTCTTTCGATTTAATGGCAACTCTATTTAATGTATCGGATAAAAAAATATGGTATTTGGTACTTGTTGGGAAATATTGTTTGAGCTCAACAATTCATTTGTTAGTGTTAATTTTTATTGCCCTTTTTGGTTGGCACGTAAGCTTGCATGTACGGATGTGTATATAATGTGATCATCACATTAATCTCAAATAACTTAAGGTTAATTGCTAAATAAACTTCAAGAAATTCTCCATTTTCACAAGAAATTCTCCATTTTTCCAAACTCTCCATTTTCATTGGCCATCAAGAAGTGAAATCGATACTCACATGTGTGTTTATCTCCACAACCAATGTCATGAACTCTATTTAAAAAGTCTTAATACGACAAACTCCCTAAACGCATAAAATTAATCAAGATTTCTTGTATTTTTGGGGACCAGAAATCGAGATTTTTGGGACCAGAAATCAATTTCTGGACTCCGGAAACGATTTCTGGAACCATAAACCATTTTTATAAACATTCTCATCCCAAAATCCATTATGCACAATTCGAACTTTTTCACACATCTGTAAAAAAAAGATGCAGAACTATTTTACTGACAAATAATTCACAATAATTAGTAATTAAGCAATCAATGTTTAATAAAACAAATAAAATTTGAAATAGAAATGATTTTTGGAATCACAGAAATGGTTTATACGAACCAGAAACAGATTTCTGGGACCAGAAATGACGTTTCTGGGACCTGAAATGACGTTCCTGGGGCCAGACAAATATTTTGGACCCAAAAATCTATTTCTGGGGCATATCATTGGCTAGAAATCAATTTCTTTCTGGGTACATAAATCAATTTTTGTGACCAGAAATCGATTTCTGGACACAGAAATTGGTTTCTGGGTCTTGAAATCGATTTCTGGTGACAGAAATTGATTTCTGGATCTTCTGGTTTCTTGGACCATAAATCGATTTTCTGGGTCCAGAAATCGATTTCTTGATCATTTCTGGAGACAGAAATCGATTTCTGGGACCAAAAACCACAAATCGCAGAAATCAATTTCTTGCACCAGAAACCAGAAATCGATTTCTGCGATTCTGAATGATTTCTGGTCCAGAAATCATTCAGTGTTCAAGAAATTATTCATGCCCACATGAA